TTTTTGCTTTGTGTTTTCTTTATTTTTTTTTATTCCAAAGTATACAATAAAGTTGTTAAAATAATACACCTTGCTCAGAAAAGAGCAAATCAGGGAAAGATACCTGAAGAGTTTAAAGCATTTTCAAACAGAGAACTTTAGTATCAGCAATGGCTGGACACTACTGAATAACTGCAACTTCTACAAAAGACATTCAAATTTACTGTGCCAACATCCAGCATCTAGAGGATAAACATAGCAAACCAAAATAAATGCAGCAGAAAGCTTTAGCCAACCATGTAAGAAGCTAAACTGAGGTTCCAATAACATTCATTCTAGCAAAAGAGAAAATATGTTTCCTTAAAAGTCTGGACTTCAGGACCAAATCTGTTTGGGTGACTGACTTCAAAAGAAATCCTAAGGAAACTCCGAAGTGTGCACAGATGCATATTCCTTTGAAACATTACCAGTAGCAACACGGGATAACACACATAAAAATGAGATTCTCTTGAAAAATCACTATGTCTTAAATATATACACTGAGAATATAAATTAAACTCAAAATAAAAGAAGTGGCTGCACATATATAGATATGATACAAATGGCTACTCCAAATTTTGTTTAACCTCATTTACTTAAAACCACACGTGTGTAATGTGTTAAGCCAGCAAAAGGTAAACTTTCTTAAAATCTCATAACCCTTCTATCACACATACACTTGCAGAAATAACAACACCTACCTTAACGATTCCATCTATGTAACAAACTTCTTAAATTAACAGCCAAAAGATACCAGCCTAGAGAACTATCTGCCTGAGGACAGACAGATGCAGACAAAGCCAGTAGCACAGAGAGGCCCCAGTCACACAAAAGCTGATATTGTTCTCCCGCTGAGCAAAAATCTCCCTTGTAAATCGAACGACATCTGCATTCAGAATCACCCTCAGAAAGCATCCCTGGAGAGGAGACCAAACTGCTTGACTCAACAGGAGAATGATTTCTCTTGTCTCCTTCAATGTAGGCAGCTGCATGAAACAGCAGCTTCTGGTTTTGCATTTTAGCAAACCTTCCTTCCTTTGATGCACAGATAGAGATAAAACACAATGTGTGAAGATCTCCCTCACTAGGCACAGCCTTGAAGCCCGCTATACTTTTCAAAACAAATAATCATTAAAATCTTTTGTCATGATACAGAACAACAAATGCCTCCAAAATTAGTAACCTCTTCACGGTTCTTTCCAACTTCTTTATCAGTACTGCTGACATAAGTCAGCAATGTCTCCCAGGATCTCTTTCATGACAGTCAATAAAAAAATAATTTAATTCAAGCATTTGATAAGGCTTATAAAAATCTGTCAAGGGTAATAAAAAAATTGCTTCACTACTTAAATTTAACTCTGTTTTTCCATAAAGTTATTTATATACTTTACTACATTCTTTATCATCTAAATTGGATACCAGAATGAAACAGCCTATAAAGCTTTACACAGTCATAAACTCAGACAGTTCTAAGTCACAGACAGGAATGTCCTACATCATTCACCAAAATTTTGATCATCACATTCCTGATAGAAGTAAAAAAAAATAAAACCCACCCCAAATTAGTCTTTTAATTTACAAGAAAGACCAATTACTAACCAATAAATTTTTTAAGATAGTATTTCTAAATGGTTGTTTCTAGAAGGGCCTTTACTCTCCTCATTAAACAAAACTAAGTTTTTAATAATGAATTGTGTAACTTCTGTGCACAAATAAACCACTCAACACAATAGCAGGATTCTGTAAAATGAAGAAAAAGACACACAATGAAACTATTCAATAAGCCTACATCAGGATATGCTGCTGTATTGCAGGATTTGGCCCAGAGTGAATATAAACTACTCTCTAAGTAGCTGGCATCTTTTTTCTCCTTGTTTTGAACAGCTTTGGCACTCAAGTAAACCGGAAGAGAGTCTTAAGACAGCAATCACAACAGACATACAGAAATGAATCAACCAAAAACAATCGATGGGATGATGCCTTCTATGGCCTTCAGAGGTGCCTGTCCTCATAACACCTAAGTTAATGAATTACTGAGAAAGAAGACTTTTATTTTGTGATCTGAAAAAAACCCAACACATGGGTAAACCTGCACCCTTAAAACAAAGATTGCCCTTTCTCATTCAGCCTTCAGAAAAAGTGTTAGTTCAGAAGCAAAATAAGGTATTTCGGCAGCAGGCATGATCTACCCTCACGTGCCTAATCTAAAAATAAGGAGAACTCCTGAGAATGAGTAGGAACATGAGAACAAATTTAACTGTGGAAAACGGCCACGGAAGAGGAACAGTAGTTTAATGCCAAGTGACAGCCACAACTTCACAATAGATTAGAAAATCCCTACTTAGTGGAATATAATGCTTGGTCTGGTGGCTTCAGTAGCCCCAAATACTCTGAGAGGAATAAAGAGTTCTCCTGACAGAACTTCATCAAAGTACAGTTGATGAATTTTTCACAGATCTGAGAGAGAAACCAGAATAGTATCAATTAATAAACAGAAACCAATATCCCACATTCAAGTTACTGACATGAAGAAGCTACCCTTCCAAATAACATGGTCTGTAATTTGCTTCAGTCTTTCAAATATGTATTGCATGACACTCAAACCTTTTAGAATTTAATTTCCTATTATTCTAATTGAAGTATCTTTGGAAAGATTCTATCATCCCCCCTCAACATAGCATAATAAAACAAAAATGCTTTTTGATAGCATTTCGTTCTCACAGATATGTTATTATAATGGACAATGAAATGCATCCCTGTCTGTGTAAGAGAACGACCACGACAATGAATGGGAAAACTGAACAAATTCATTGCAGTTTTTTCTTGTTTAAAAAGCTACAACACACCATTACAGAAATAACAGGTCATGAATGAAGTACTACAAACCAGACTGGTGCTGTCAAGGATAGGAAAAAAGTAAAAGCATTGCAGAAGCATGAGTTAATGTCTGCTAGACCTGTCATACAGCAAAATACTTAAACTAAGGCCATATGGTTTACAAAGCCAAAGAAGTTATATGATAACATAATAATGGTTAATAAATATCTAAAACCTTTCTGCATGAGTGACAGAAGTGTTTTGGTACTTATTACAATCATGTTATTCTACCTCTGTCCAGATTTTTTTATTCCTTGTTCATAGTGCCTGATCACCTTTCTATACTGCAGTCTGCAATACAAAACCAGTAATTTATGCATCTGGAACGCAAGTTAGATGACCTTACACTGGGGAAAAAAAGATTCATACTTAAATGCAAATTGCAAGATGAATTGTTGGAGACAATTCAGGAAAGTCATGAGCTCCTAGTCCCCTCTTCCTGCACGCTTCATGTAATTTTATCCAATGACTGTTCAATGTAAAATGCATAAACAGTTATCAAGAACAAAGATTAGAACTGTAGAGAGTTTGCCAGAGCAATGCCCTCATCACTTAACAGCTAACTAACTATCTCTGCTTCCCCAAGTCACACGAGCAGCTGTGGTGAGGGGAAGCTTTACCAGCAGCCTTGTGTTCCCAGACAGGCCAGTTCAGAATCCAGCAGCTGGGCCTGATTCCAGAAGGAAGTATGTATGGATCTGAATCCTTTAAACTTGAAGAATGCACAGAATTGAAGTGACCCACTATTCATTAATGAAATTGTAAGAAGTGCACAAATCATCTACCACATTTTAAAGAGTCTGGACACCAAAGGACCTACAGCACTGTTTATATTCAGATTATACCTCTGCAAAGCTGCATAGAGGAATTAAAGCATTCAACAATTTTTCAGAAACTCCTTAAAGTCTCTACAACCAGAATCATCTACCTGCAGATCAGAGAGCTGGAATGACTCCTGTTCCTGTGAGCCTTCCACAGGGTAAAAACTACAGACACCGTGTTAGATTTGTGATATTCACTAAGATACCCAAGCCATTCAATTTAAGACATGGTAATAAAATGGTCACCATCCACATGGGCATTTTGGTTTGATTCAGGAGTAAATTTTTGAAATTAATCTTCTGATTATGCCCCCCTACTACATTCTTTGTTTTTCACCATAGAGTGTTACCATACCATATTTACTCTCAAACAACACTAACATAGAAGATGCTGTTCACCTACCGGTCCACAGGACTGCAGTATAGCCAGAATAAAGTAAAAGCTCTTAAGATACCCAAAGTCAACAACTGCTTTGTTCCACAAATCTGTTACTCTTGTGTTGTAGTACTTGCTAATGTGGACACAGCCTATGTCTCTGCGAATTTGGGTCCATCCTGAGTTTTTTCTCAGTGCATTATGTAGATTGCTTTAGAAACAGTTGGTCAAGTCTGAAAGTAAGTCCCCTGTCTTCAACATCCCATACATCCCAGAAAAACATCACAGAAAGATTCTTCTGCTACTTTTGGACCTGTATTTTAGACCCAAACACTGTGTAGGTACAGAAATCACTGACAGCATGATGTGCTTTTGAATTTGTTCTTCAGTGAGGGTTTTGGCACCGCTGTCTTATGGAGTAACAGCTCTTGTGAACCACAGAATAATAGAGATTTAAATGACTGATCCTACTGTGTTCAAGAGTAGGAGAGAAATGAGCATACCCAGGTGCTTCACACAAAAAATGTCATACTTTTAAGAATATCCCTAGAGCTGGTCTCAAATTAGTACATTGCTTAAAATTAATTAAAATGAATCCGTATAAAGTTGCAATTCACCTTTAATATAAAAACTGAAATCCAGTCCTTATCAAAAGAAAAAAAGCTATTCTGATGAAGTGTTTTAAAGCAGATCCATTAACTCAAGTCATTAATCACTCACATATTCTAAAATATTCTGTAGGCACAGTCCTAAAATGTATTTTTGTGTAAAGTGCTAGTTGTTACATTCTACACCTAAATAAATTAATTTTGGTCTGAAACAAAGAAAATATAATATACTTGGATTAAAACAAAATACTATCCAACGAACAACAGGTACAAACAAATTGTTTATCAAATAAAACTTACATCTAGTAGTGTGTGAAGATGCTGATCCTGGAATACACTGTGAAGAAAATCTAAGTCTTTTTCACTGCAGTCTGTAAGTGCATGAATTTCTTCCAGGCTGTCCAGCACCTGTGAGACTGCTCCTACGGGGCAATAAACAGGGAAAAAAAAGGGAATAAAAAATCAATAAAGCAAAGACTCATGGTAAACTGAACTTTGGAAGAGGAAACTTTCACTTCATCTGGTACAACCGGAACAGGAACTTAAAAAAGTTGGAGTTTTCACAGGAAAAGACTCACCGAATAAACTTTAAATATATCAACAGTGCCCATATGTAGTGTAATTATACATAAGAAATGGTTTAACAGGAGAGAGTTTAAAACCTGATTTTATTAAGCTTAGCTTTGTTCTTTTTTAGCCTGTTTTCCAATGATGCCTTATGAAGTGACTTGGATTATGGGCCTGTCCTCAGCATTCTTTCCCCAACCTTTCTTTCTTCCCTTTTTGAACTGCTGGCCAATTTCAAATACATATTGTAAAATTTTGAAACATCAGTAAAAATGATTTTGAAAAAAAAATTTTGAAAGAACCAATGTTTTCACGATTTCTTTTAAAATCAGCATCTGGATAGAGGAGGGAAGAGAAAGACCTGACTGCTGCGTCTTCCAGAGGACATAAAAGGGCTGTACCATGAGCTCTGGGTTTTGTTCCATTTGTTCTGCTGGCCTGGTTATCTCAGACCCAGTTACAGCACTTGCTGCTTTTTGACCAGTGCATTGTTTTGGGTCATAGGGAGATGGGGATGATTTTTATATGGCATGGAGGTGAAAAGAGAAGCAAGAGCTATGGAGACAAAAAAGGATAAATGGGAGGCTTTATGGAAGGTGGAAGTCCATGAGGGAAGTTGAACTCACAGCAGGGGAGGATACAGAAACGCAACACAAATCCATAGTAAACCAGCCCACAGTGGTTCTCTGTAAAACAATTTGTTTTAAAAATCAGGTATCAGTGGTGGCTGCCACCTGTGTCCATTACTAGAATGCCAACTTATCTAAACACCCAGTTTTTCCACAGTGGTATAAGCATCTGAAAAGAGGATAGCACATCCAGTCTGCATCCCATGCCGGTGTCTGACAGTGAACTGTTGAATGCTTTTCCATAAATAAATTCTTAATTTGGGATACAGAATCCTAAATATTCATTACTTCATTAATTTCTCAACAGTATTCTTATTCTGTTTACTCATCTGTTTGCCTGTGTCCTTTTGACAAGATAAATATTTTAAAAATTGCTGTATTTCTTGAAATTCCATCCTCCACTGTATGAACAATTCTTACAAGCCTTCCTTAACTCAAACTCTTATGTATTGTACTTCCAGAATGTAACAAAACCAAAAAAACCAATACCCTCTTAATCACACAAGGAAAAAAGTTAAATTAACTTATTTCTTTGAAAACCTTGAAAAACTGGAATAAACATAACAAAATACAAAAAAACCTACTGTACTAGACTTGCAACCTCATGGCACAGCAGGATGAGTAAGTGGCAAATCTAGAAATGACTCCATCACATTTAGTACAAATCTCAACCTGAGATTCTCCTGACAATTCCCTGTAGACCAAGGTTTGAGAACCACAGTACTCCTCTCACTCACAACCCATGGCTCAGGAGCAATAAGACTTTTTAATTCTCCCCCTTTAAGTGTGTCTGACTACTTATATCCACTTGATGAACTAATTTATGTTCCTTTTAAAAAAATTGTGGCTGCCAGCAAATAAAATTAATGGTTTGACTTATAGTAGTTGCTGTGCATGAGGCTGGGTGCGCTGAAAAAGAGAAAAACCTGCCTCCTGTTTGGTAAGTGAAAAAGCCTGCTCAGCTGAAAGGAACCTCCCATATTCCTCTTCCAGAGATACAGCAGGAAATCTGAGAAAATACAGGGACTGGGAATCTGCTGGTAAGAGGATGGAGAGATCACAGCTCAGCCTCAAAGGCAAGGAATAAAAACATTACCTAGGGATCCTCTACATTTTCAGAATGTCAGTTTAAGGCTCATGAATTTAGAGATCTCCAAGCCTGAAGCAAAGTGTTTGACTCTCCAGAATGCAGTTGGCAGAAGGAAATTTGTTTGAATTCTCTTTTATTTCTATTTTGTCATGCTCAGAGTTTAAATTGTTTCATTTTCTAGCAAAACTTTGCTTTCTGGGTTCAAAGCCCTTTCTGTGTATTTGGAGTATTTAAGGAAAAACTCAAGAGAAGATTCACTTCAGAGGCTTGGATATCTTAAAGAGTCTCTAATACTGTACAATGTTGCTCATAACCACTAAAACTTGAGCCAAAACCAGAACCAACGAAAAGTGTGTTCAAAGTTGTCTGCAGAGCTGCACTGGTGTGAAACACCAAATGCTCTGGACTATCCCGTTATTTATTTGACAGCATTATTTTGCAAATTTTATTTTGTGGAATACTTTGAGGGCTTTGAAATAGAAATAAGTGTTATGATTTTTTTAATATTTGCATCTCGACAACCTCTTCAATATTTGGGAATTCCAAAACATTAAGCTTTGATCATTAGGTGTTTTTTTTTCCCTCCTGTCCATTGGTCGCCTTGAATAGGTGACTGTAAAAGGAAGTTTCCAAGAATGTCCTTAAGGAATTTTATGAGAAGTTCTGACGTGACTTTGCTAATCCCTCAAAATCATAGTTCTACCTTATGCTTTTTTTTTCACCTACAATCTTATGTTGCATCTACTGCCATGCCTTTCATGCATTTACAGATAACGTGCCACCTGCATGAGAAAATGGCACAGTTGCAATACACTGACAGCATGCTAGTGCATTAAAAAAGTGATAGAACAATTCTACAGGCATTTTTGTGAACACCTAAACTCTCTCTGTTACCAACATCTGCTTAAAAAAGCTTAAAAGTACTTTTCAGAAGAGTTTTAAATTCAGAGAAATGATACTAACTACATAAAATAAAATTAACCAACCTTTACAGCACAACTGTTTCTAAAAAGATTCATATTCTATCATATTTAAGCTAAATTTCCAACCTTTGGGGAAGTATGAAAGCAGTCAGTAATTATAATTAAAGCTTTTATCCTCTTGAAATAGGATTTAATCTCCTTTCAACGTTGCAAATGCACCCATTTTAGCCTCAGCACAGATGATAAAGGAAGAATTTAAGTGGGTTATTACACAGTCATGCAAGCTAAAAGCTCAGATTTATCATAGTCTGTAGCAGTTACAGACAAAATCTATAAATATGAAAATTAAAATGCATAAATATTATTAAGAAGAAAGTTGACTAACTAGACTGTCTGTGTTAATTTGTTTTATAAGACTCCCTAAAGTAAACTTTGTTAGAAAATGCTGCTTACTGCCCCAGAATTTTCAAGTAGCCACAATCACTTGGGTGAGATGAATCTCACCCTGCATCTTAAATTACTATACAAATAGATACACACACGATTGCACAGGAAAGGTTGCAATTCCAGTGACACAAACAGAAGTCTCTTCTCTGAAGAAAAAGTAACAAAATCGACATCAAACTTGATTCTGTGAGAAGATTCTAGTAACTGTGGATTCTACTGTAAATGCACATAAGATCCCAGTGCCCAAAGGAGCAGTGATACTCTGGGCCATGCACACAACCTTGTCTTTCCTATTCCCATAAAAATACCTAAAAAAAGATGGCTCCAACTGTTCACAGTTTCCTTGGGGCTACCAGTTCTGAAAAGTCGAAAACTATGAGCTCTCATATATTACAAAGAAGAAAAAAACACATCAGAATGTTTATGATGGTCTCCTGCATCAGTGCTAGTACATTCAATGCTTTCATAGTCAGTGGAATTACTTCTAAGAAGACAGAGATGAGTTCAGCAGTTTTCTGCCTACAGATCTATTATTTATCAGAAAGCATATTTGCTTTATAAGGCAAAAACTTGGGATTTTCTCTTTACCCTGTGCATAGTCAAAGTTATGACAGGTAATTCGTGCAGGTTCTGTTACCGCATTTATGGAGGTGGCCTTCCAGAAATAGTTCTCTCTTACAGCTGAATTCGATCTCCAGAGAACTCTGTAGTTCTCATACAGTGCTCTTAATACCACCTAAAGTTGGTGTGGACACTGGTTCATCCAGCTGGAAGCAGGCAAAGCTTTGTTAAAACAGTGTTGTTACCACAACATGGCATCCAGATACTCTGGTCTGGAACAGGTGGTTTGACTCGAGAAACTGAACTTTAAAGGTAGGGAGGAGTTGCTTAGTTGTCTCCAGAGAGAAGAGAGTAAAAGACAACTTTAAGTACTATTCCAAGAATTGTCTATGTATTCTCCAGTACTAATATGTCTCCCTCCACCACAAAACACCCCCAAAGTTTGCTGTTCTGAGGCTCAGCAAGCCAGGCAGCTACGACTGGCTTACTCTGTTATGTAACGTGCAGCACAGAGAATTCGGGGCTTTTTCATGTGACCTGCAACAGTGTATGACTGAATCAGTGTTTAGGTAAAGAGACTTAGATATGGCTGCAAAACACAGGCTACATTCTGACTACAAACACATTCTGAGAGAGGGTAAAAAAATTCTTTGATTTATTTTTTAATACTGAAGATTATTAATGCCCATTTAAGTCTCTTCTGACTAATGAAAACATTTTAGAGGAAGTCTGACATTTTTTAAATACAAAACTATAAAACTACAACCTTTTTGCCAGTCTCCTGCAATTAGTATGCCAGGAAATAACTCTGCAGAAGAACTTGTAGTAACCGCTATAATTAACAGCATGTTTTTATTAAAGAGCCACTGACAAAATCCAAACCCCTTAGATTTGTAGAACCATATAAAACTAAGTTCCTGACACGAGCCACTAATTTCTATCCTATTCATTATTTACTCACTATTCTTTATGTTGTGTAAAAAGGTAAGTAACTACGTCTTGAAGATTTTGCAGTGGTTTTTTACTGACTAACTAAGGCTTTGCTGTTATTTACCATTTCTGTATATATCATATTTCAGTCCTTATGCCAGTCAATTTACAATCAACAGAAGCTGATTGAACCTTATCTCTTGGCTGCCTTGTGTGCATCTGCTGGAAATGAAATTAAAAAACAATTCTGGCTCTCTTAAAGCACAGGCATTTCAGAAGACAGGATTTACATTTTACTTTGTGAAGTGGTCTGAGGCTAGTACATACAGCAAGGGCAGAAGAAAAACCATCAGAAATTGTTAGTTTTTAGAGAGATCAAATATTAACAGTCACTAGACACAATCTCCAAAAAAAAAGGCAAAAAGAAAAGCATGGGGATTATTATAGAAGTGCAGATCTTTCCACTACTTGTAATAATGTAACTTTTTAGATTAAGAGGAAGCCAACTGAGTATCAGATGCTCTTCATCACTTTAATCAACATCTGCAAAAATCACTGGAGTTGAGATGCCTCTAATCTCACACAGTAATTTGTTGCTCTTTGCTGTTCACTGTATTCCAGAGCAACTAACTCTGCAAGGACAGATGACAGCCAAAGCAGGGGTATATATATGACTACAATAGTTTAAAATAAGGTGGGAGATACTTGTTTCACATATACACAGCACTGTAATTAAAATGAAAGGCAAGTAAGGACTCCTTCTCAAATTTGAGCTACAGAAGTGTTTAATGGCTTCTTCCTTCTTGAACAGAAAACAAACAGCCAAGTGTAGACACCCTGTAAATCTACAAATAGGTTCCTACATGCAGACAGTTCTCTGAATGCTACTGGGAAGCAAACAAGTCAGTAATAATATATATATTTATGTATATATACACATATACCATGTGTTTATAGTTATACACAAAACAATCAGGAAGACTCCAGGGAGAGAACTAGAAAGATGGAGATTTATAGAGATGACAAGGAAAATGTAGAAACACAGTAGTTGGAGCAATGGAAGGGTATTGGGATTTACAACTAAATTAAAGAAGGTAAGAACACCTATGGAATACAAGAAGGGAAAGAAAGGCATGTAAAAGTCAGAAATGAAACCAAAGAAAATAGATGCAGGAGAGAAAAACAGGGAGGAGGAGGAAAAGACTAAACAAAGAAAAAAAAATTAAAAGAAGAGAAAAAACCTCCAGTAAACAAAAGATAAAGTGTTCCCAAACAGCAGAAGGAATGCAGAGGAGTGCACTATGTATGGAGAAACAAAAAGGGAGGGGTGAAGGGGAAGTGGAGGGGGGGAGAGAGCCAAGAGGGTGGGGAGAAACTGATGCCTGGTTTTGAAGATGCCTTCCTTTAGTTCTGCACGCACAGGGGCACTGTGTTATGCATGTCTCCAGCTTTGCCCTGTCTCCAGGCTTGAGACCTTCACATAAAGTTTGCCAATCCTTTTTCCCAGCTATCCCTCACTGTAAAACTAGTCACAAATATGAAAGAAGGCAGTCTAGTGTGGTGGTAAAAAAATATGCAGTGAGAAGGTACCGTTTTTGTTGTTTTTCAGACCAGACCTACACGTTACCTGTAAGTGTACTCACATGCAACAAAACAGATAAATATTTTAATAAATGAATGACCTTCACTGTCACTTCCTTAGACACTTTCTTCCTCATTGCAAAAATATATGGAAACCCTTTTCTGACCAGCATGATGGCAGTACATCCTCAGTAAATTTGCTGAGGGAAGTCTCTGTGCACAAACAAAAACTAAAAATCATGGCAGAGGCTCTGCATGAGGTTTCTCTTTTTTCCCTACAACTGTAAAAAATAATACTATTGCAAAACTTTATATAAAAATCCACTGAACTCTCACTGTTGCGTTACTGGACAGGCATTCTGAGATGGGGAAATAGGAGGACAAGGAACAACTTCCCCCACAACCTGTAAGATCAAAATAATAAACCAAATAACAACAACCACAAAATCCATGACTTTGATCAGAAATGGAGACATGGACAAGTGTCTTGCTGCCCTGACTTACGTGTGAAGAAGAGCTGTTACCCTACAAGTCTTAAAATGCAGCTGGAAACCCCCCACTTTTTACAGCTTGTTTTTGGAGATGCTGAATTTGTTGTTTTTGAAATGGTTGTGGTTTGTATCAAAGGGTCTAGAATTTCACACCTTCTCCTCTGTCTAGCACAGCCTGCAGGTTTTAGAAGAGCTTGCACTTTCAGTCTCTCATGATGTGTGCAGTTAACTTGCAGCAGAACCTCCTCCCTATGTGTCAATAACATTCCTTCATTGAGGAGACACATATTGGATAGTTATTTAAATCAGGTGTATGCATATACACAGTGCATATGCATATATTGTGTATCACATCAACAAGAAAGGACCAAGAAAGTTCATGCAAGCGTAGAGCAAGAATGTAATATATGACTAATATTGCAGTATATGCTTGGTGTTAAGAGAAAAAACGCCCATTAGTCCATGAAAACAATTTTGGAACAAAAACACAAACCCCAAACATTTTAGCCTTTATTAATTTAATGAAAATTAGATTTTATTTCAGTTGTGTTGCAAATATTAAATATTGGGGGGGGGGACTAAACAGGTAATTTTAATACTGCCTCTGAACTAGAATCTCCAGAATTCCCTGGAAATCATAACACTTCTGGTTAATTATACTGTCAATTATATTATAGCACAGACAGGTTTAGTAAAAACCATACAGGCTATTTTTTTTTTGAGCAGGCAGTATTAAAACTGAAAATAGCAAGGAGAAGCAAAGAAAGCAGATTTTTCAAACATGCAAAGCCACACACCATAGCTGAATGATATGCCTTAAAGGAAAACAAAGGGATACCTACTTTCTGCTGCTAGAAGTCCTAGTAGGAAGGCAGCGTTTGGACAAACAACAAACAGTATGAAGATCTCATCACAAGCGATTTATAAAGCTGCATCCTAGCACACTAGTTTAGCCACAAAATAGTATGAACAAAGTCACAAGGACCCCCACCCATCTTTTTAATAGGGTTTCCACGTGTGAAGCAAATGGCACTTGCGGGCCGGGATGGGAGGAAAAAACCACTTGGCATTGGGAAGGCAGCACATCTATGCAGTGTTAGATATCTGTAATACCAGACTTCTCCCAGCATTGATTAAACTATTTTAAAAAATTCATGGACAAAAAAGAGATTTCTAGTAAAAAGGTGAACTGGTAAACTAATTCAACATACTGCAAATGACGCAAATCGATATCATATTAATATACTCATACTTACTAAGCAGAATTTGGCAATGTTACATTGAAATCAAAAGTTTCAGTGAGAATCATTATGAGAATCATTCAGAAATATAATCACCTTATCATTGCTTTTAATTAACAGTGTCTTAATGCACTTTTAAAAAACTTTAATCATATCAGAACAAAGAATAAATAGCTGAAAAAATCATAAAGATAATAATGAAGGATTGGAAACATGCAAACTCATGATCTCAAAACTGATAGTTTTGCTTGTAATACTAGAGAAGGAATTAATAACAGAAAATTATAAGGTGAATGTAATTTTTTTTCCAAGCACTCATACTTAAAAATGTTACACAACAGCCTTTGCAAATATTTACAAAATCAGTGGCAATTTCTGCATAGCAAAAGTATTTCTTTTTCTTACTCATATCGATGAGATATGAGGCTTTTAAGATATGGGCTTATATTGCCCATATTTCATGAAATCAATCCCATAAAACTACTAACCACTCTAACTTGTGAGTTCGACTAGTTCCATGTAGGTTCCATGTGCTGATCTTACAACTTGGCCATACACGTGCTGTTTGATCTCACTCTGAAAGACCATCAGATTCAGCCTTTTTCCCATTATTATTACTTTCAAATTTGAAAATCAAGATCTCAAGCTGTTAAGAACTTCTAACTTGACAAGACAATATAGAGTCTAACAAGATAGAACAAGAATTTCAATTTACATACAGCGACCCCAAGACAAAATACCAAAATGCATTTGTGAAAATGCCACATGAAAGCAGTGCCCTGCAGTTTGAGAAAACAAGGCAGAAGCACTGATGTGACCTCAGGGTGGTTGCTTTCTCTGCAAGGCAAAAGCTCTGCTTCTATGTTCATCCCCTTCCAGAGTCACCACAGAGCTCAGACAGCACACACATGTGCAGGAAGCACTGTGCCAGTGCCACTTGTTAGCAGGGGTATGTGAGTACATCTGGTCACTCGGGCTGCTGTAAAATTCGCTGCTGCACTCGCTCTGTGGTTACCTCGAAACACAACATCAGAGGATGCCTTACAGGAACCCAGAACTGTTTGTGGCAAAAAAGCCACTCTGAAACCTGTTAGTCACATTTCAGTGTGTGTGTGCTACAGACCAAGCCAGTCAAGCAGGCATTATGGAGTAACAAACACCCTTTAACCAAAAGGTAAGGTTTGCTTTAATCAAAAAGTCAGTTATGCAGTTTTCCAAAGGCTACGGACTATCCACTGGCTTAACTCCAATACTGACTTGGTAGTTCCGAAAATGTGGCTACAAAAAGGTTTTGGAAATGCAAAGTTATAAAAACCTCTTTGATTTATTGGTTTTTCGAACTGTTGGCCCAAAAACTTGAACATTTTGAATGTACTTAAAACTCCAAAGTAAACTAAACGGTCTTCCTCAATCCAGCTTCCCAAGTCAAAATGTCAAACAATTCTACAGCCTTTCCTTGGGCTGCCACAGAATGAGGGAAGCTGAAGAAGCAAAAGGAAGGAAAATGATATGCTTTACATGGGTGATGTTCATTCTTCAGCCTGAGGCACTGTTACCAAAACACTTGAAAACTACACGTCTGTACCCTCTGTTTGGGGACAAATGGTCAGCTTGTGACAGAAGTAGAGGAAATCCTGTCTTGAGGTAATGTGTGATCAGGAGATAGCAGGGCCAGGGCACAGGGCAGGAAAGGGGAAGGGCAGCAGAGTGAATTTCTCTAGCATCTTACGTACTTCATGGTCGACTTCAAATACTTTCTACTGGGCCTGTTTTTCTCCTGTGTCAGATTTAGCCTGTAGGGTTGCTGATTGCTAACTTCTGATTTATGTTTGTTTCAGCATATTAAAAATACCCAAAACATTTGTTGCCTTGGAAAATAAACATTTTATAATGTCCTGAAAACGGGCAACCTGAAAGTCAAATGTTTTACATTCTAGAAGAAAAAAACACTTGCAAGAAGCTTGTCAGTTGAACTGTTTAGTGGCTGTACTGAAGAAGTTACTGAACACAGCTTATCACCACTAATCTTTTAGTTTAAAAATACCTACCTAACTAAAAAAAATATTTTAAAAGCCTTCATCACACTCTTTCAAAATTCAGCAAGACTGATTTCTGCCATGTTACCAACAGAACGATAGCAGGATGAAGTTAAGATCTTCAGATGATGGTTGCTGATGAAAAAGGAAACCCACCCAGAACACGTGGTGGGAACCAAGAATTATCAAAACTCTGTCCAAATTAAAGGAAGATGTGTACAGAAGAATTCCCTTTAAAGGGAATTTATCTCTGTTTATTCCCATTTAATGTAGTCAAGCAATTTGCTGACCCTCATTGGAAAGCTCTCTAACAAGAATATCCTTTGTGATTCTGCATCTACAAAGGCCATCTGACTTGCTACTTGTAGAGTCTTCATATCCCAGTCTAATATTCTGGTAGTGTAAGAAGATGCTCAAAGGTTCCAGCAATCCCAAGTTCACTGAACTTTGAGGAAGAACACCTCGAGACTAACTTGGAAAAAAGACAGAACTGAAATTTTCTGTGTGTGGAACAACCTGGAGTGCAGGATACATAATGTGCATAACCTAACAAGCATTTATATTTCTGAGATATATCTCTGAAGGAGTTCCATATTTGTCTGTTTCTAACAAATCATTTAATTGCAATAATAAGCTTCACGAAATTTTATGGGACGACTAAATAGGCAACAACACAAAATATTAAATGCTCTTCATTAGAGTTTATGATCTGGAATAACATTTTATGAGATGTTGGGAAGGAAATTTAAATTACCTTAAGATAGTCAAGCTTCCACTGCAATTTAAGAGTTTTATGTCTAATTTCTATAAACTAGCTGGTTTTAGAATCATCACTAGAGCTTTACAAGCTAGAAATGTTGAAAGTTTTATTAGTGTACTTCTGAAGAGGAAACAAAATAGATTTCCACATCTAGCACTGGAAGAAGTTGTGAGAGTTGTGGTACCTTTGCTTGCAAGCCTCAGTGTTTATCCTGCAACATTAAATATTTTATCAGCTAATGTTGTTGGTCAGACAAACATCATGAAAACCACACACTTAGCATGGTTTCCTGATCACTGTGATCTCCCACCAGAGAGATCAACAATGTTATTTTAGAGAATAACTACCCTTTCCTGAGAAATCCAAGGTAAAGTTTCAGTTATTTCAGAGATGAACACAAGATAACAGTGGATCCAGCCCAGATATTCTGTAGAATTTAACATGTGTACTGGATTCAAGTACTCTGTGAGCAGAAAAAATAGAACTTGTACATTTCCTCTATACTGATATCTGCAATTACATCACTCTGAGGAAGACACATGTCCTGTTGCTGTGAGACTGAAACTGGAAAGAGGAACTGCAGTTTTCAGATTAGGAAAGTTGCCACTGTCAATCATGCTGGTGGCTATTCCCTATTCAAATGGGGGAAGTAGATGGAAACAAAAATAAAGGCGCTGCAAGTAATTCAAGGTGAAGTAAAATCAACTTATTCTTTCTTTAAAAGCATAGGTGGATCTTTAACTACAAGTACATCGAGTATTCAAAAGCTGTCTGCCTGAAGTTAAGCCATGAGGCTGTGATTATCCATTTGCTATAAATGATCTGAGGTTCCTATAAATTTCTGTGGAAATGATGAACAGTGTGCATACCTAAGGACAAAGCAATCTTTTAACTTAAGTACTCGAACTTGAAATCCAAGAAGTGGAATTGAAGAATTTCAACAAAAACCAATTTCACCCCATTCTTATATTAATGACGTTGAAATTAACTACTTGCTCATATGAAAGAGAAAAAAAGGTGTAATTAATATATGCAGTCAATAGGTAACTTTCTCACCTATAAAAATATTGGGGAAGAGAATTATCACAGAGCAGATCAATACATGCAATTAAATTCCTGAAATGTGTTCTAGTAAAGTCAGTATGTAGCTAAGATACTCTTCCAGTACTATTTGGTTATTTAGAAAAATAAACGAGAGAGTCCTTTTGGTCTTCAGTTTTCCTCAGAGGTTCATTTAACTTGATCCTAAATCCTAATTTTAGGTCAGACAGACCACTCTAGACTTTTGCACTGCAAATGTTTTAAGTAATGCTATGTCAAAATTAAGATACACAACTGTGACAGGGCTGTGTTAGTACACAGAGTGGAGGTTATTTAAATCCTTGAATATGGATTGTGGACAAAAGGATTGCTTGAGTCAGATCACTGTCCTGCCCAAGGCCCAGCTCACAGCACAGCACAGGTATTATCTTCCCTCTGAAGCATGTTGGGAGGTCCCTGAAGTACCATGTACTGTCTCTCTCTGAAGATCTGGGGGTGAGAAATACTGTCCAATGTGCTTTAAAGAGAAGACATTTTAATCACATTGCTCTCTAAAACAGGAATTCAGGAAAATTTGGTACACAGTGGTTTCTTTTTATATATAACTATCAGTAAGGCATGAGAACCTTGCTCCTGCCTAAGAATTCAAGACAAAATTTCAATAAGCTTTTCTACTCAAGTAATATAAAGAGAAACATGAGGTTATTCCATTATTTGTAATAAAATGTACACACAAGAACATATTAGAAAAAAAATATCAGAATTTCTGTGGAAACTTACAACTGTGCAGAGATTTTCTCTTCAGTTTTGCCAGTCATGAACACCATTAAGACTGAAAACTATTTATTCTTTCACATGTAAATGTTAACTTCATATTAAATTTTATGAAATCTCAAAAAATTATTAAACACTTGGTAGTCTAGTCAGTATAGAATTAAGACAGGTTGACTGCAATAAATGTACTTTCTGTTAAAATACCTGAGGAGGTGGGGTCTTCAGAGAAGTCTGGCAGCTCTTCAGGGGGGTCACCATAGAAGGAGTTGAATTTGTGGCTTGACACAGCTGCTAGTACTGCCCCCTGAATAAAAATACCCACACAGCCTAAATTACACAAAGAAGGATAATGAAACATTTCCAGACACTCTGGATCACTCAATCTCCCGAGGTCTCTGGTGTGTTGACCTTCTCAGTGAAGAGCAAATAAATTTTATAGACTTCAGCTCTGCTTCCCTGTTATCAGTGACCACAAGTGCTGGTCATACACTAATAAACAGTCAAAATGTTCTTTGTGAGGGGATACATGAGAACAGTCCTTTATGTGAGTAAACCTTAAAATAATAATTGTGAGGCACAAATTCCCATAGAACAATGTAACACAATAACTAATTTCTTTCTCTTTCCCTTTTACCTAGACTGAGTGGCTTAGCAAGAATAGAATATTTGACACCCATAATATATCTATATAAAAATAGTACAATTATATAGTTAATCTGACACTCCCAGAATCAGTGTTACATGGGAAGTTACAAAACCAGAAAAATGGTCACCTGCTCTGACATATATTTACTTGTTTAAGTTAAATACAGTTTAACCACTCATGTTTAAATGCCTCACAGTTGTGTCAGTAGACAAAATGGACAAATTTCATGAAACACACTGCAGAACAGTGCTTTGGATAAAATGGTATAAGAAACAGCAAAGGTATAAAAACTCTCAGGAGATGAAATACAGGGGCCTCCCCAGGAAGAAATGTGGGAAATACCTGAAACTGTACCTAGAGCAGAAAAACAGGTTGTATTCTAAAATGTACTAGCTAATATTTGAACGAAAGTACTACCTGGACATACAAACCACCTAAGAGAAATTGCTGTTTATCATGAACTATGGCAACTGGTGCATCCTAATCACCAGCTACATTAAAATTTTGCAAAGCAGCAACTCCTTGTGTATACCTGGCTCTGTGTTTCATTACCAATTGTAAAACAACTCATGAATTGTAATGCTCTATGTTTCTGTTAAAATTTTCTCAACCTTTCAGTAAACTTAAAAATGTTTCTGCTAAACTTTCTGAGAGAGAGGAACTGAAGAGAAACCATGTTGTTTTGGGCTAAAATGTTAACAGTCTTTTCAATTCAGCTAGGAAATAATCCTGTGTGTAGTTAAACATAAAGAGGATAAACTGAAGAATACACATTCGCTCTTCTTGAAAAAGACATTAACAATCATGTTCCTGTTATTATAAATGTAACACAATAATAACAGAAGCCACTGTACTATTCTCTCCAGTAATTCATATTACACAGAATTAATGAACTGATTAAAGATGAAGGCCTCATACACACCTTTGTTGATACCAGACAATTTGCATTGAAATTTAGTTTGAAAACTATTCAGTAAGAAAAGATGAGCATCATTAACAATCATCATTGTAATAAGCATCTGTAAAGGCCCGTTACAACTTTTTATTTTATTACCAACTTCACAGATTTCTCCTACCACTTTTAAAACGGATGAAATATCACACAAAATTCAAGTTACACAATTATACTGTTTTAACACTACATTCAGTTTACCTTTAGTTTTCGTCTTGCATTGAATTTTCTCAATTGTTCTACTGTTTCTGGAAGATGAATCTTGTATGCATAGCGATCTCTCTCCTTAAAAAAACCCACAAAAAACACCCCAGAAGAACATTAAATACAAGCTCTTCATATTCTCTTGACACTAAGAAACCAGACAAAAAAATGTACCAGTGAATAAGTATCCTAAGGAGAATGAGGATTTGTTGCAACTTAAGGAAAACTTCAAGAAACTAAAAGGGATTAAAATACTTTGAAAGAATTCTGAATTTGGGCCAGAGATATTTTCTTTCAGTAGTTTTGTTTTCCACTTTGTAGACCTTAGTCTTTTGTTTTACTGTTGTGCTGTTAGTCTGTGGCTAGCACTGAACTCTGAAGCTGGCAAGCAGAAAGTAGTTCTGCTTCTTGGGATTCACAAATCCCAGTGAAGCAACATGTTCAAGCTCTCTTTTCAGAGGTGCTTGATACTTCAGGCAAGCTTGGGAGATGGGGTAGGATGGCTGGTGATACCAGGTGATGGCTTACAGGAAGAATTCTCCATTGCAGATGCTGATAAAAAAAACCTGCAATGAATAACTGCAGTGACAGTAAGGACAAAACTTGCAGCAGTTGGCTACTGTCTTACCCTGCTCCAAATCATCACAGAAGCTCCACACACATTAATTTAATATAAATGTCTATCACATGCCTCTCCTGAATCAGAGTGAAATCACCATCAGAAGTAATTCAGTCACTCTACAACAGTGGAAATGCCTCTGTCTCATGCTGTATTTGGATCTGTAAATAGTTTAGGAGAAAGCTCTGAGTCAGCAGGGAAGGCTGTTTATCATAGCCAAAAATGGGAGGACTGAGCTTGGAAACAAAGTTGTCTCAAACTAAATGTTCTCTTTCCTTCCATGAATTTCAACAAATAACGACAAGACCAGAAAAAGATTACAGACATCAGAAGTGCTAAACTATATAGGCAGAGCTTGCACATTGACATTACAGAATTGTCTTTTAAACGAGCCTGATCAGCTTAGCTGCTCAAACAACAAAAAATGACAAGGTTTTCTCCCAAAATAATCCTCAGTAAAACCCTTGCTTTGGCATCTAAATGTGGGTAAGCTCACAAAGTGAGGAAAAAGTCAAAATACAAGCAGGTAGAAACAGATCACCTGTTTTAACCACAGGTTAATCACTGGAGTTTAATCAGTTTTAATCACTGGAGTACGATCATTTGGGATTTGCAAACATTGTGTCTCTTTACACACTCTTTGATATTTGATACACTATGTAAGCTCCAGATCAATAGACAGAACTTTGGCTCCTTTTGTGTGGAATGGTTTGAACCTGCAGTTTCCCAATACTCAGAAGAGTTGCCTTAACCACTTATTCCTGAGAGATGCACACTCCTGAGCTCCTTTTATAAGCCAGGCCATTCTGCAGCTTAGAATACAAGAGTCAGAGCCAGAAAGAGAGCAGAGAACTGGAAGAACGCCCATTTACTTGGAGGGAGAAGAACATATGAGCCTGTCCTTCCCAGGTTCTTCTTCTGGGTTTTTTTGTGTCACTATTTGTCTCGTGTAGAGGAAATAAAACAGTCCAGAAGCAGACACCAGAACAGTACCCTTTCAAAACAAGTGCCCTGTTCAAGTTAATGATATTATGACTCTCTCTACCCTTGACCTACGCTATAGGAAAGAAGTAGAGGATAACAAAGAAAAATAGTTAATTCATCACCTTCTGCCAAAGAAAACGCAACATTCTGAATCAGGACTTGCCACTTTATAAATCTGTAGCACACCCATCATTCTCCATCCCCAGTGTTTAGCACAGACTACTGATGGGACTGCTGAGAAGCTACAGCTGTATATTCTCCTGCTCCTGTTGTTTTTCTGCAGCGTTCAGTAACTACTCCTCTGCTGGCTTAAACTGTGTTGTAAATTCTGACACCCCTGAAAAATAATTTGATTACCAGATATCATTTCATTTTATGCAGTCACAGTGGCCTTTGAGTAACATTCCACTCCATATTTCCTTCACTCTGGTTGGATATTTCAGGAATCTAATGTAAGGAAGCAGCACAGTTCAGTAGCATAACATCCTGCAACAGACTGCATGGCTATAAGCATAATAGGAAAGATTTAGGACTGAGCAAAGAGGAGATCAGAAATTATTTCTCTGGAGTCTGAGAGCCACAGAAAGACACATTAATACCTTCCTTAAGCTTTATGCTACACAGCCCTACTCCCTGATGCTGCTGAAGATGTCCAGCTGAGTTCACTCCTGCTTTTAAGAGTTCAAGCCTGGCAATTATCTAAATCTCAGGTTCTAACCCTACAAAGCATTTAAAGCAGATTCTCCCACATTTTGTACAGTTCATGTCTTCTTTGAAAAGCTCAGAGAAGCGAAAAAAATAAATCTTTTTCTCCCTTGAAGCTGAAACTGGTGTGTAAACAGCTGCTTTTACTACCTTTAACCAGGGATGATTCAGTGCTTCATATACTGTTATCCTTTCTGCTGGATCCAGCATAAGCATGCGGCGTACCAGGTCTTTGGCACTTTCAGAAATATGGCTCCATTGCCTAGGATTCATCTGGTTACAAGCAAGAAAAAAAGACATGAAATTAGTAACAAGAACATAGGAAACAACATACTTTTTATTTAAAGGATTACAGGAATTTGACAGTGGTTGGTGCCTGCAAACATTTCATTGCAAAAAAATGTAAAAGAAGTTTCTAAGTTTTTTAATAACTTCTAATAAGTTGTACACTAGTTGCTATTGAAATTGCATAAAAATTGAAAACATAAAACCTGACATATTCTTAGTATTATAATTACAGTATAAGTTTCTACCTGTTCTATATTTTGTTTAGCTAAAAGCGACTCTTCCCTAGGGGAAAAAAAAAATAAAAATTAAGCTTTGTCCGACTGTTAACTATGCCTAAGATAAATGTAGAAATTAAATCCACTCCTGAAATCAATATAAGGAATGGCATGACAATCCATCTGTATCAACCCACAGTTTCATGCCAGTGATTCTGAGTAAAAAGGAAGATAATGCCTGTTGTGAACTATTCTGGTCTTGTCCCAAAGGTACTATGGACAATGGCTCTTCTCAATAAATTCCTTTCAACTTTAAAACAGGTGAGCATCCTCAGCCACTAGGAGAGCATACTGTGATCAACAACACAAGCAATTGCAACACTTTTTAGTGCAGAACTTTATCCTTAGGAGATACCAATGTGAAGGATCATTTAGAATATATTTTCTGCTTGTGCCCAACCAGTCAAAATTATGGATGCCCAACAAAACCGTAATAAAGTAGAGAAAATTATTAATGTAATATAAAGGATTATATCCTTATGCTATTTCTAGGATTTCTTTAACTTATGAAGAACTTAAGTTTTATGCAATGATACACTGCTAACTTTACAAGGTACTAAATGAAAATCCAAAATTACAACTAGACTCTTTTCAATGTTATAATCTGTTCATTTAAAGAGGTCCATTTTATTTAAAATCAGTCTTTACAAAAAACGATCACCTTAAATTGGGGCACTCAGGAACATGAAATCCACATTAATAGTTGTGATTTGTCATTTCTTTTTCAGCTTTAATGAAATGAAGGTAATTGCAAATTTGCAGCAAGATTGTTTAAAAATCCTTACAGTATTTTCACTGAATAGACATATTATTGTGGAAACAGGAACAGAAAAGGAACTAAGAGGACACAATGTGCTGGCCATAACTTTTTTTTTTTTGAAACAAAGGGAAGTTAACTTGTACACTTCCAGAAGGTGTTAGCTGCCTAAGAGACTCCATAAAGAAATCTGCCATAAAGTGAAACTGGAACATCTACCAGCCTGTGCAATCCCAAGAAGAAATGCTGCTGCTTCTAGGAACACAAAACTTAAAGAATGAAAAATGTGCTCCTTAACAAGTGCAGTAACAGTGCTGTCACTTACATTTTGGCAGACTACTGTTAAGTTCATATAGTAAAATACTTCCTAAACCATTTTAGAGACCATCAGGCAGCTTTAGGAGTTTCCGTCCGTAATTTGCCAACGCTCAGCTCATGTGTGACCGAGGTCACAAGGCAGAGCAAAGCTCGTCTTAGACAAAACCGCAAACCCAGTGAAGCTGAAGCTTTAAAGTTGTCTCTTTAATGGTCTGGGATGCTGCTGCTGTGAAACACACTCCTCCTGCCTGCACACTGACCTGCCTGTGGTTGCAAGTGGCTCCTTTTGAATCATCGGCTGCACTTTACTACACACTGTACTGAAAAGAAAAACACCTAACTGCATTTGTTAGGCGCTCTCTTAGTCGAGGATTTAAATAAAAAAAATTTAAATTATCTATAAACCTATGGTAACACGCAATATGTTACACTTCACAGATAAATCTCAGGTAATCCTGCTGGGCTCAATGTACATTTAGGGGCGAGTTGTAACACCCATTTATTATTTCATCTGAGTAAATATTTCTGTATTCTAATTTCTAACATTGATACAAAACACAGCAGGAACAAGAGAGAGAAAATTATCTCTCTTCCTGCATAACAGCTTCAAATTTAAATCAGGCTAAATACAAAAATCAACTTCTAGAAATTTTACCAGCAGAGCTCATCTCACTGGAAAAGGATTCAGGTATACTGTCATTTACCTTGTATTTGCCTTTAATAATGCCTTCAAATAATCTTTCCTTGGTTCCATAAAAAGGCAAACAACCACTTAGCAGGATAAAAAGGATCACGCCACAACCCCAAACATCTACAGGCTTCCCATACGGTTCTCTTTTTACCACTTCTGGGGCCATAAAATGAGGTGTTCCTACACGTCCTAAATGGAAATAAAAAGAAAATTTAGTCAAAGTGATGTGTGTCAAACATGGAAAGAAAGAATATCCCTCCAATAAACTAAAACAGTTTTAATAAATTTTGTTTATGGGTTAAGCTTTTAACACAATGCTTTTTCCCTTAAGTTTAGTATTTATTAAATATATCCAGTGAGACAAATCAGTATTTTCCCTTTCGCTTCATTTATACTTTTATGAATTGAGGAATATTCTATCCTACCCAGCAGACTGTGAAATGAGACTCATATAAGAGCACTATGATTCTTCAGTGAAATTTGGCATATAAAAGTAAACCCACCAATTTGGACAACCTTTGAAACAGGAATTATTTATCCAGAGAGCAAGTACAAAGATATCGAAGAGTTCTAGTCTACACTGATAACTTGAAAAAGCAACATCTAAGTGGCAAGAGCACAGCTAGGTCTGATGCTCTGCCCAAACCTTGGCCAACAAAAATGCAAACCAGCAGCATATGTATTGTTCATTTATTTGAAGCAGGCAATGTCTTACTGCACGTAAGAAGATAATGCTGATTTGTTTCACAAGGTGCTTTCAATGTGTGTCACTCAGTAATGGTTCTGGCACAGTACTCATTTTGGATAGGTAATGAATGTACTCCCACAGAAACAAAACTTACTTAGTACTGATCTTTTTAGTGGATAAAATGTTTAGAATGACTTAAAATAATTTCTCTGTAGCACATTAAGCCAAACAAATGCAGTGAACATTTTACCTCTCCATATAAATGTTTCCCACTGTAAAGAATTTTGTTTCCATTGCAAAAATTAAGCTTTGAATGCTCAGGTCATCACTGACACTTACAAACACTGTAGTCTTTGGACTACCCTGGTTCCATCAAGTACCAACAGGAATAAAAACCCCACAAGTGTAGCAAACTGTCACCACTTGGACCCCTTCATAAATTATTTGTGCTTACTGATAAATACAATGGACTTCAGAGGCTCCACTCAAGGCTTGCAGCACCTCTCTGCAGGCCAGGAGAGTTTCAAATGCAGCCTAGAGAATCTGAGGTGTTTGCAGGGCGTGTATTTAATTCAGTTTTGTATTGTAAAGAGATTCTTGTTTGATTAACCTATCCTGCACACCACTGGCATGGGAGTTAGCTAAGTCACAGCACTGGTAACAAACACCTGTGAGACTATCTGGCAGTAGCTTAGTAAAGACCATCATTTGTTTATCCCACCTACAGCAGGAATAGAGTCTAACCATGCTCTGTTAACTAGCCATACTCACTCCTTTTTCCATCTAAAGGATTACAAAATGGGCAGAAAGATGGCACCTTTTACATCATACTATTCTTAAGGACAAACAATGCCATTGTCAAAATTCTTCACCTTTGTGTTATACCTTTTCCTTCAGAGTGTCAAACAAATGTTAGGGACCTGTCTGTGACAAAGGAATGTTACCTCATCACTAAGCTAGGTCAGCAGCTTAGAACGTCCAGGCTGACCTGACAGCAAAGGGACAGTTCTTTTCTAGGCTAAAGAATAAAAAAAACTGCATCCCTCATATCACTGGGGGAGGAAGAAGGACCCTAACTCTGGACAGAGAAAGACAGAGACAGATGTGGGGAAGATTTCTAATTCTCCTTGCTGTCTATACACAGTTTATAGGCTCATGACGTATCTTCCAGCCTGATAAACCTCGAAGCCAAAGCTTCAAGATCATAAATATGAGGTCAAGAATTATCTCCTTAGATGACTCTCTCTTATTTACATGCCTGGTGATGGGGAAGGGAAGGAAAATGAAGTTATATATAAATCCAATATGCACAAGTTGTTTTTGAAACTCAGGGGTTTTGCTTTTTGTTAATGTGCCTATAAACTTAGTAGGGTTTCCTCACTGTTTTTCCTCCTAGGATGCCATCACAGCAAAAGCATGAACGTTTCCAGCTCTGCATCAGGCTATGCCTGTGCATGAGCAGCAACACCTGCCTGTTCAACCAGCATTTGTCTGTCCCTTAGACTGCTCACGTGACATTAGTGGTGTGCTCACCACTGACTGGAAACCTTTAGTGCAGAGGATCATCAAAGACCACAGAGCAGCCTGGCTTACCCAAGTCTTGTTTATCTCAATGGTGACTTCCTGACAACTTGGGTGCAGAGGGACCCATTTGCCATTTTGGAGCAGGTGCAACCTTTTTTATATGCTGAAAAAAACATTTGCGGTACTAAAGCTTGTTTAAATATTTTTAATCAATATGAATAGAAAATTGTATATAGTCTGAAAATTCTGCCTTCCCACCAGGTTTTATAATTGCTATTATAAAACGTGGCAAGTATAGAGGAAAGTGATTACAAACTGGAGATATCAGTAGAAGACAAGATATCACAAGGACAAAGCAAGCTATTTAAAAGAGACGTTAAACTTTAGGGAGATATACATTTGTCTGGATAAAGTAGCTAATGAAACTATGAATCCTCTGTATCAAATGATAGGTATGTTGATTTAATGTACATTTCCAATAATTACGTGGGACTCAGCTTCGAAACTTCTTTATGTTTCAAATAACAATTGCAGACATGAATGTGGTACTAAAATGACTATGTGCTGTGAGAACTATGCTTAAAGGTTTGGGGTTTGGCTTTGAGGTTTTTTTGTCAATGCATTTAAGTCTGCTGGGCATTTCAGTACAGTGAAGGCTGACCTGCAGAACATCTTGTGTCCTTACAAACAACTACCCATCCTACATTTTCTCTTATGGTGTAAAATAGCACATTTAGCAGCAACACAGGCTACATAAGCAATCCAACAGCATGACTGGGGGCAGGAGTTTATGTGTCAAGGTGCTGGCACTGCGGGGCCTGCAGGGGTGGTGCCTGTGAGAAGCTGGGAATAACCTGCTCTGGACACAGAGAGTTCCAGTGGAACCACTGCAGGGCACATCTGAGCCCAACACTCAGTACAGTGGTGCCTCAGGGAAAGTGTGTGTAAGAAAAGGAAAAAACACTGCCTAGCAAGTGAGGAATATAGGAACTGACATTCCTCATCCCCCTGCACCACTTGGGATTGGGTGGTAAGGGAGTCAGGAGCGAGGGAGTAAAGTTGAGGGGAAGAGGAGGGGAGGAGGTGAAGTTTTAATTTTTGTCTTTGTTTCCCACCGCCCAAATCTATTTGATAGTTCAAGGTTCCTATTTTGCTTTATCTGCTGATCTCACACCAGAATGTGAGGATGCATCTTCACTTGAGTACTCAAGTGCTCTTACAAACTGACAAGCTACAGTTAAAAAACACTGTCCCTCTCTGATCATCACACATTTTCTCACTTGGAAGTCAGAAGGTGTTTCTTCCATCCCAGGTAGAACTGGATCTTTCTTGGCCAGGTTCAAAACCAGTATACCATCAAAAATCCACTTTAATGAACTGCTTGATGTTGAGCAGAGGGAACAGAGCAGTTCAGTAAAAGGAAACACACCACAGGGCTGTTTAAATCCCCAACAGACTGATGCTGTAAACTAGATGAAAAATGGATCTTAACAGCAAGCTGAAAAATCAGTCCTACTAAACCTTAATACTGGCTTTTACATTTAAAATGAGAACTCCATAAATACAAACAAAATGAGAAAGAAGACTAGGCTAACTTAATAGAATCTTGCCATTTACCTTGGTTAGATTATATTTAGTGAAAATAGTTCCAGAATTATTTGGTTTTGTAACCTCTTCAGTACTGATTCCAAGATCCTGATACTTTACGTGAGGGGGTGGAAATCACAACTTTATGTCCATGAAAAAGCAAACCCAGAACAAGCAGAAACTTAAGCGGTTGAAAAAGAACCGTCCAGTCAAACAGGATAAAAAAATGCATATATATGTGTATGTGTATGTATGTATCAGAAAGCCTAAAGTCATTTCTGGCCAGCTGTCATCCTTGTGACCGCTTCACTGGGGTCATCAAAGGAGCAAATGATGATTTCGAGGTTATTCTAAAAAACCTGACCTGAGCAAGGACTGCTGAGCTGTGCCTCTGAACTGCACTTAGCTCAGCACAGTGAATAAAGTGCACACATGAACTTACATAGATTGGGAGTTTTCCAATGTTGCAACTAGAAGAACTGTAAGCTGAATATCAGTAACAGGACAAATACAACCTACAGACAGCAAAGTTGTCTAAAGTCACGGATACTGACTGCTTTTTAGACCATGTATCACTTCTGCTGAAAATCATCTAGTAGAAAATTTGCCTTCTAAACACATCCAGTGTAAAATTTTAAAGTTGTTCTCAACAGTTTGATTATTTTAAAATATTTTAGAAGCTTTTGAATTTTCTTTGGTGTTTTGCGAGAAGCTCTGCATCTTTTGGAGGCAGAGTAAGAACAGTAAGAAAAGGCACTTTCCTCTCTTTAACAGATTACTTCTGCTTTCCACAGGTCTTTCATTCTTCAGGATATAAGAATCACAGATATATTTGAATGACTGCCCACGAAAAAATAACATTTTAATTAAATATATATTGCATGCATGCATACATACAGGATTTTTAGCTGTCAACTAAATTGACTGGAATTAGTCTGTGCTTTTACGTTCTTCTTGTTTGTTCTAAAGTGGCATTAACTGAAACTCATCACTGTATAAAGACTCAGCAGTGGTATGTAGTTAATGTGATACTTCCCTCCATCCATTTCACTGTAAATAAAAGCCTACATCAAAGTGTTTATTGATTTAGGAAGCCCTCAGTGCCTGGATAGGTACAGACATTAGATACCTTATTTCTAGACGTAAACTTCCTTATCAGCCATTTTTGAGGCATGTTGGTTGCCTGTAAATTTATAAAATTGCTAATTGTGCTAATCTTTCCTGTGGATAAACAGAGAGCTTCAGTCTTCAGGTGCTGTCAATCTGATATCATTTACAAGCACTAAAGATAAATTTTGACTTACCTTTGATAATTTAGTTTCTATGACTCTTTCCATATTATTCCAGACAATAGGGCTATGCTTTCCACAAGAAGAAGAGTATATACAGAGACCCAATCAGATTTTGTCATCCCTAAGGCAGGGGACTGATGACCAAGATATCAGAAGGAGAGTCTTTCAACAGCAGTAGTATCTGAACGATGTATAAGGAAACAACTGGAACAAATAATTTTTAGGAAAAAAATGTGAGGTACTAATAAACATCACCATCTGACCTCTCACAATAGTGTAATAAGAATTATGCTCATAAATTAAGGAGTTTCTAAAAGAGTGAGATGTGGAGAATAATGTGGAAGGAATCGAAGAATCACACATAACAGGATCAGAGAGGTCAGTACTTTACTACTCTTAATTCCTTTCCACATTACTCCAGACAATAGAGATGTTTAAAAAGCAGGTGTACAGAGAAGATGAACAGATTAAAAAAAAAAAAAAGATAAAAAAAAAGGAAAAAAAAAGGGCAATTCAGCTTCAGCACAGAAGATTGTCTGAAGAAAATGTATTGTAAAAGATGCATCAGCAGACAACTGGACAACTTCAAATTAGTGTCCAGAAAACGAACAAAGCAAAGCTCACATATTAATGAGACAAATTATAATAATTGATTCAATGGCCTTTTCAGTCATACAACTATGATGGAGGAAGTAAACCTAAATGACTTTTTAACACATCAGCCTCCTCTTAGCACTCCAGTGAACTGGAATTTCTGAGAGACTGTAAAACACAGTTGTAACTTTTAAATAAAATGAAGTCTCTTGGAAGCAAAGAAAGCTTTGCAATACTATTCAGACACTGATGATGAAAAGGAAAAAAAATCTATGCAGTGCAAAAAAACTCCAAAATTTAAAAAAAAAAAGTTTTTTAAACACCAAGAAGAACCAGTTTGGTGAAACACTGAAAAGGCTGCCCAGAGAGGTGGTGCATGCACCAACCCTGGAAGCATTCAAGGTCTGGTTGGACATGGCTCTGAGGAACCTGATCTAGTTGAAGATGTCCCTGCTTATTCCAGAGGGTTGGACTGGATGACCTTTAAAGGTCCCTCCCAACCCAACCATTCTGTGATTCTATGATTATTTTTACATTGACGAGGACAAAACAAAAACAATGAACTTAAAGGATTCTGCTCCCCTTCCCCCCATTCCATAATCTACTTAGAGGGAAATTTATGGCAATGCCTTCCTTTGCTATTTTTGTAGTAAGTCTAAAAGGCCAAATGACAAAGAACCAAGAGCACTTGGTATTTATGTACTGTACTTCCATTAAGAACATATAAGATGTTTTCCAGTAAGAGGATAATTTATGGTAGGATACTATTGGATTTTGAAGCAGCCTAGGGGAGCAAACTAATAACACATAAAAATTTATATTGGGCTTGATTAGTATCATGGTACCTGTGACATTTTGCTGCTAAAGGTACAAAGTGAAAGGCAGTTTACTATCCACAGGTAAGACTTGACAGCTTGTGTAGAACCTCGTATCACTTAGGTCTATAGTTATCTTTTTTTCTGTACTAGTTGAAACCAAGAGAACTTAAGTAGATTAAGTGGAGGAAATAGCACTTGTGAACTCAATGGGTTTTGTTCCTTCAGACTTTTATGCCATATATGAGCTAAAAATCCCAAGACTTAGCATCTAAGATATTCGATATGAGATAAATCTGATGCCACATTTATTTAAGAAAATATTGTGGCAGTTCATACCATATTCTGCAAGAAAAATTGTCCAGGGAAGAAGACAGAGATCATAATGTGAGATTGCTCTATTAAATCACTGAATTCCTTGAGGTTCCACTACTGTAGCTGCATCATAACCATGCAAACACAGACTGTTTCCTGTCTACGTGCTGTTCCATAAAAGAGTTCACTTATAAATCATGATGATCTGTAACTACCACGTATACTGCCAGAATTCCACCTCAAAGTATCTGCTTTGATGTTTCAAGTAAAGCACCTAGTACAGTTTTCCAATTCTGATCATAAGAAGTGCAAGAACAGACCTTCAGAGACTGGTAGCTCATGGAAACAATTTCCTGTAACACAGGCTTCTTATTCACTGCATTGCAGCTTATGGGCAAATAGAGTGGAACAAAGAGTATTTCCTCACATTTTCCCTTCTGGTCTTCTGAAAAAGGAGTTATGGTTAGGCCCTTTTTTTTGGTACTTACTTAATAATAATTAAACTTTGATAAAAATGAACTCAACTGGGGTTGTTAGATGATAAAATACAGTCATGATCCTAAAATCTATTCCACAGACATTTCCATTAATGACATCTTAGTGTGATGTCATAGCTTGTTGTCATGAGCTCCCTTACACTTCTGTTAAATAACTATCTACCTGCTTGAAAGAACATTACAGTTACAATCCTTCTCAACAACACAAGTCTATCTTTGGACTTTCATCAAAAGATTGGGATTCATCTACCTTTAATGCCCAGGGCTTAGTTTAACTTTACTACAGAAACTCTTCCCCTCACACCCATCAATCCAAGCACACTGGAAAAAAGATGTCTTTTGTTAAGTTAAAAAAGTTTTGCAGTCCCAAACAAAGCAAAAGCCATGTGCTTGAAGGATGGCTTTGAAGACGCTGAGGGAGAAAATTCCCTTCAATTTGTTCTCCTGGGCCTACACAGAATCTGGCCTTTCCAGGCACGGGTGTGTCAATGCACAAAGGTAAGCAAAACAGCACAAATGAAGCACAGGGGGGTTTAGGTCAGTAAAAGAACCTTAGTGCCATAACCACTTTTATTTAATAGAGAGTTTCTTTTCTGATGTGTGAACCGCCAAATACAGGAACTGCCATGCCAAAAGGGAATAACTGAGTATGTTAAGCTGAATCAGTGTTTTACACTAAAAATTAGAAAAGCAATGTGAAAGTGGGTAGGTTGGTTATGATACTACCCAAACTTCTCTGTATGGAGAGTTCCTATTTCACTTATGAGACAATTGAGAAAAAAGAAGTGTTAGTTACTAGTATGACAAAACTGATCCATAGGGCATATCGATGACATTCTTAGACAAACGTGTAGACCAACGTTGTTTTGTAAGAAATGTATAGCCCAGTTCAGTCAGTCACTATTGTTAACTTTCCTATAACAAATATGGGTGATATTGTAAAGCTGAAGAAATAAAATCTTGCCAGTGTTACGTAGGGGACTGTCTAGTAATGTGCCTTCAGGTAGGATTCTGGCAGGGAAAAGAATTGCCAGGTAACAGATGTGCTATAAAGACTGGAATGGAAGATGAGAAGAAAGAGAGAAGGAGTCTGTCATAGAGAAAACTTGAAATAAGCAAAAGAACTGAGACCTTCCATGGTATATAAATGAAGTGGAATTACTCTGTATGTCCCTGAAAACGAGTGAAATTTGAAGCTGAAAGTAACAAGTGCTAATGAAAGACTGCAAACTAGAAATGACAGTTGGGAGAGGGGGGAAAAAGTGTATAAAGGCAGACCAATATGGCATAAGTTGAGATGGAAGAGGCAAAAGACACAGAGAAATATAGTGAAGAGGCCTGAGAAGCTTCTGTAAGTGCTGCACACAGAACCACCGACAGTGGTAACTGCATGGAGGTTGGGCACAGGAACAGTGAGTGGGACCTGCAGAACAGTGAACAGTAACAGAAAAGGAAGGCCACGACCAATTTGGGGAAAAATGCTGTAATCTTTTTACAAAGTTGAACTTGATGTTTCTTGCAAGACAATTAGTAGTCTGAAAGAAAGTACACTGTATCTCATTACCTCCAGAAGAGTAGTTGAAACAGAAGAAATGGATAAAGTTGCTCAGTGAGAACATAAAGAAGAAAAATGAGAGAATCTTAAACAAAAGTGTAGAAACTATCACTTAAAAAAGCAGTGGCTGAGGTACAGATAATTTGAGTAACACAAGAGAAGAAAAGAAAGGAGTGACCTTTTTATTAAAGAAACAACAGTAGCTTAACTGAATGGGTATTTTATTTGAAAGGATGTCTCTAAGTAATTAGACACTTGGATATTTCCAGGGTATCAGAGACATCTGGAAGGGAATCGAGGCTGTTGGTATGTTTATATTGGACTTACTTTTTTATTTAAAAAGCATATAAAAGCCAAATTGACACAGAACTTTAAGTAATTGGATTAGGAAATCTGAGTTTTTGAAGAAGCATAGTACTGATAGGAAGTTACTCATTTTGAGGAAAAAATATTAAAACTAATAAAATTTTTTTGTTGTGGTCTCCTACTCTGGCAACGAAAGCATCAGAAAATTGATTGGGTCTTCATCTGTGCAGGCTGATTAAAGCATAACCCTATTGTCTGGAACAATATGGAAGGCAGCTAGAGGAAATAAAATCCACAGAAAACAAAACACACTTAGTCAAAAAATATACATACGTATCAAGATATTGATGTCTTATGCAATAATTACAATGAAATATTAAAACACAGAAAAGAGTCACATGTGAAAACTAGTAAGGTTTTGCTATTAAACAGCTCAGCATTCTGCCAGGAATTGCCTATGAAACATAGGGGAGCGCTGATGATGCTGCACTAAGTCCTTACTCAACTGCTTTGACAGACATTTCAACCCTGACAGCATTTTTATTTGCTTTCCTTTATCAGGCACGGAAGAATTAAGCCAAAGATTGTATTAAAGTGGAAAATTCTTTGGTTTTTTTCAGTTTTATTATGATCAAACCAGCGTAAGCTCATGTTGAGTAACACTCAGAGGGATTTAAGACTCAGTACCTAAATGCACAACAATCATACATTCTACTAGCAGTTTAGCTAAACTGCGTGCATTTATAATGCTAACAAAGTTCTAAGTGAAAGATTATTTTTGAGCTCTTGTTTTGCAGGCCAGGCTGTGCCACAGGAACAGAACTCTGCAGTACAACATGCATCAATACTAAATAACTTCGAAGGAAAATTTCTTACCTCCAGCAACTAGCCCAGACTCTCCTAATTGAATTGCTACCCCGAAGCCACCAAGCTTTACTGGGGCTGAATTCTCTTTTGAGGCAAGGAGTACACAGTGCGGCTGAAAAGAAAAAAATCCAGACAAATTATTATATTGTTTGAGAAATACAATTTGTATTTTAGAACTTATTTTCATAAATTTGCAAACAGAAGCTAAAAGTTCGTGTGGTTTGTTTGGATGGTTGTTTTTTTTTTTTAATCATGTCTTAATTTCAGACTTTTTTTTTCCCTCTCTGCCATAGACTCCTCTTTCTGCATTGTTTTCCTTTCTATTGTCCCAGGCACAGCAAAATCCTTTCAGGACTTACAGAACTTGCAAGGAACACAAAGTGAAATCATACTGGAGATAAAAATTTATGCCTATAATTTCTTACCTGGTATTACTTTTTCTTTTTACCTTCCCCCTTAAGCCTTACACTGTTTCAATTCTCCAGCAGAAATATCCTGACTATGACAGACTTTGTGGGATTTTATCCTTCACAGAGAACAGAAACCACTACTTTGAGCCTTAATCACAGAATTCAGTGAGCATTTCTCAAATGCAGGAAAGAAAAGGAACTTCCCTGTGATGTTTCTAATAAATATTGTAATGAAGGATATTGTTTTGGTTTCTAAACTGCATTTCAGGCACAGTCATCCATATCCTCGATTTTCCACAAATAAGAGTGAGGTGTAACATACGAAAATGAAATAATATTTTACAACAATCTGGATAGATACTGGCTGGTGTAGGAGGAAGCAACATACATACAAAATCTATTAGAACACAATTTAGTATTTAACACACATACCCAAACTATTGCATTTAATACAGAACAACTTCCTGCATTTACTTAAAGCCTCCCTTTTAAATACCATATTATTTAAAAGGAAGAATGTCAACTTTGTATACTACTTCCTGAGAATATGTTAGTGCTTAAATTACAAAACTAGGAAGTCAGTGCACAGGAGGTACGAGAATTTCAATCTGACTACCTGTAAAGTCATCATCTGTAACCACCCACCTCTTCTTTTAAAACAGTTTCAATTGTATGAGAGTGAACACCTTCAAAGACAATGCTCTTGAGATCTTCATTAAATTTAGGCCTCCCTATGTCAGGTCTTCTAGAATCCACTTTCAAATGTCCAGTTTATAAATGTAATTTTCAATTCCTTACACCCTATTCAAAACAGTATTACCAGGTGGTATTATTGCTGCACATTGTATTTCACTTCTGCCTTACTGTAATGGTTAAGCTGCACATTTTGGGCACTTTAATATCCTCTCATTGCTATCATTTTCAGTGAAAAAGATCAACCTCAAATTTCCAGCTGCAGGCAAGGAGCAAGGCAGATGGGAGAACTACACCAACAAAAGCAAAATGTACCATTTCACTGTAGTGTTGATCTATCTTTATCCTACAGTTGAAAAAGTGACACTACTTCCACGACAGTGCTGAGACAGCAGGCTGTACCAACATCATTATCATCCAAAAAGCCACCGACAGTGCTCACCAGAAACAAAGCTCCTGAGAAAAAAATTAAGATCTCCAATTCAGAGTGAAACTCTGAGAAGATTTTATTATAGAACCTCTCCCAGCAAAGCCCAGATAAACTGAGTTTTGCTTTTTAAAAATGTCTTTTTTAAAAAAACAAAACAGTTGCAACACTAGTTAAACTTCCCCTTGTTGCCAGTTGTACCGTGTCAGCTGATGTTCATCACTTTCATAGAGAAGCTTTCTAATAAGAGGACCTGCATGTTACTCCTCCCTGTCTTCACCAGCGGTTTTGAAAATCAGCAGAAGTTCTTAACACATAAATGGTAAGTGCCTTCTTTTATACTTAAGCCGCAGTAAAACAAATTTCTATTGAAGTTTCTCTTAACTGCAAAGGTGCCACTGACCATTTCTTAAATATAGCTTCATTTTAACATGCTGCTTGCTTATGAGTGACACAACTTATGACAGTGAAAAGTTATGTTTCCAATGCATCTGCAGTGTAATCGATGCTTCTCTCTTTCTTATTGTTCTAAACTTGTCACTGCTTATGCAAATCATGATGTCAAGCATTTCTATAGGAAAGCAACAAACAAGAAATCATAGCAGTAGAGAGGCTTCAAGATGTATTTGAAAGCACCATGTTTTAAAACTGGCCTTTTAAAGTTACTTCTTGCCCTGATAATATCAAACGGCAAATATGGAAACAGCTATTTTTGAAACTGCTAACATACTCTGCAAGTTTAATGCAACTGTATGGTCAGATAACACGGGATGTTAAAATACTTCAGACTGTCCTCTCAGTAGTTCAGATCCTGTATGTACATTAGGTCCTCCTAAGAATTTTACCTGAAGTGTTGCCATTTTCACTGCTGTAGCTGTATCACACACTTAAATGTAAATTTGCATTTTTAAGACCTAGCACGCAAATTGCATAGCCTAGACACAGACTTTGCCTAAAACCTACTTTAAGGTTATGTATATAGCAGAGTTTTCTTGTTGGTTTGTTTGTTGGGTTTTTTTTGTAACAATTGCCAGACAACAAAGTTCAGAGAACCAAAACCACTTCTGACACTTTTGTGAGATTAGGGGAAAAAAAACCTTTCCTCTGTAAAAAAATAAAATTCTAAAGAAACTTTTTTATGGAGTCTTTTGTTGCTATGATAAACAAGTTGAAGAAAAAAATTTATCATTACAAATCAGTCTTAACCATCTCTCTAAACAGCTTAGTGCACTCTGTTCTAACCACACACTTTTTTGGTTTTCCTTCCTTGGTCAAAACTGACTTTTATCTTCCAGATTGTACCTTCCTGGTCAGCAATGAGCTCAGTGAAATTAAAAACTTTGAAATGAAAACAAGGAAAACAATGAAAGCAAGGAAGACTTGAAAACAATCTGTTACTGCATTAATGTAATTCCCAGTTAATACTAGTTTATTTGTGTAATACTGATTTGTGAACAGTCAAGAAAAGGAAAAAACCACTTAAATTTATATGAAGATATAGATTATTAAAGACAAGCTACTGTAATAGTACTGGCTCATGGTGTTATAACAGATTACATAGCCAAAGAAATATTAATTCACAACTGCTTTTCTAATTGAAAACTACTGGCTTGCATGTGAGAGATCCTGGGTACTTATTTAAAACTAACACCAGTGAGTTTAGACTTGTTTTAATATATTTCTATGTACTTTATATCAACATTGAGAATACTTCACTTAGCTATACTTACCTGTCCTTGCATCTTAAAAAGTTTTCTTAGAAAGACTAATCCTAAAAACTAAACTTAAAAAAATTATTTGTACTTGCAGATAAGTCAAAATAAATTAAAAAAAAAAGATTTCTTGACTGTGCAGCAAAACTTAATAGCTGATTTTTAAAACAGCACAAGACAGTAATACAGATGCAATTATACTACCAGTTATCTATTTGAGTACTCTATACCCTCTGTTCTTGCCTACAGATTATTCTAGACTTACATTGTATCATGATATCTGGCTGCAAGTTCTTCTACTCAGCTACAGCAACATATTTGGCATATTTACTTCCTTTAGTTACTGCCTTTTATGTTTATATCATGTTAGACTGTATGCAATGAAGCAAACAGACACAAGATGATCCTATGGAGATCTAATTCTTAAAATTTCTCTTTGTTTCTTTACAGAACAGCTAAAAAACCCTCAAAAATGATGGCTGCAGCTTCAGCTGATTCACTGACACACAAAAACTTCTGGAGTAACCAAACCAGCATGGCCATAAATGCCTCAGAAATTCAAAACAATGACAGTTGTGCCTTAGACGACAACTCGCTGTCACTCACTTTGATAGTTTTTTATTCTATTATTTTTGTTGTTGGATTGGCTGGAAATATTACAGCCCTGTTTGCCTTCCTGTGCATTCATCAGAAAAGGAATTCTATCCAAGTTTACTTGCTAAACGTGGCTGTTGCAGACCTTCTGTTGATCTTCTGTCTTCCCCTCCGAATACTCCATCACGCCAACAAAAACATTTGGATGTTTGGACGGATTTTATGCAAGATTGTAGGAACTCTGTTTTACATGAACATGTATATTAGCATAGTACTGTTGGGACTAATCAGTCTAGATCGTTATATAAAAATAACTAAGTCTGTGAAGCGTCCTAAAATGTTAACTCCGACACGAAGTATTCAGATTTGTTGCGTCGTGTGGGCAATTGCACTAACAGGATTTACAGTAGTAGTTGCACCATCTTTCTTTAAGAGTGAGGACAGCAATTCTACTCTGTGCTTTCATTACCGAAGTAAACAGAAAGCAAAGACAGAAGCGATTTTAAATTATATCACGGTACTAATTTTTTGGATAGTTTTTTTCCTCTTGATCCTTTCGTATGTTAAAATCGCCAAGAACCTTCTGCAAATTTCGAGGAGAAGATCAAATTTTCCCAATGCAGGAAAATACACCAAAACAGCAAGAAATTCCTTCATTGTACTCATCATTTTCACCGTCTGTTTTGTTCCTTATCACATGTTCCGGTTTGTCTACATTACATCACAGTTACAAAACCCCTCCTGTTATTGGAAGGAGATCATTCACAAATGCAATGAGGTGATGCTCATATTTTCATCATTTAACAGCTGCCTAGACCCAGTTATGTATTTCCTCATGTCCAGAAGCGTCCGTAAGGCTGTATTCCAACTTATTTGCAGAAAAATTCATGGAGAGTCAAGCCTAAATATGGAAAGCACTTCAGACATAAAACTTGGACAATACACACAGGAGAGATTATCTACTATCACTCCCCACTCAAGTTATTCAAGGAAGAAGTTTGTGGTTTGACTGTTTAGATGAATGGATTTCTCTCTATTGCTCCAGGACATCGATTGCAGATCATGAAATGCTAAACTGTACAGCTACTAATCCTGCCTCTTTCTTCCTGGTCACAAAATGAGAAGTCTTGCTTCTGGTTGTGAAAACGAGAAGTTACTTTTCACAAGTATTTTGCTCTTGTTTATTCATGAAAACAAATTAGGAAGTTCTCGGACATCCTCTGTTGGACTAAACTAGAACACTAACTCTTTAAGGAGATTTCCATGAAGGGGTCTG